ACGTCCCACTGATTTTTCCCGCCTGAGTTCCACGTCGACGTCAACGACGAGTAGTTCGGCTGAGAATTTGGGACTTTCGCGGATAAATTCAATTGACTAAGATTGTTCTCCAACAAAGTACTGGTGAGATCTTTCGGATTAATTTTCATTGGCTTCGAAGCTGCTTTCGGTGTCAGCGGACTCTGCGATTGGAGACGTTGATGGGTCTCTTGTTGTTTCGCTAATCTATGCTTTTCTTCCATCGTAAGACCCTTTCCATCTTTCATTGGAGTAGAATTATTAATTGAGGAAAGATCATTATTCGAGAATGAATCGTTTAAAATATTGACTGAAGGACTCGTAGTTTGTAATAGAGCTTCATCCAACTGCTGTGCTTCTCTCCTCACAGCATCCAATTGTCTCAACGCTTCACGATGTTCTGTCGTGACTCGAGTCACCATATCACTGATTAAAGACGCCAATGCCTCGAATTGAGAAGGACTCAGGCTCTGAACTACACACAGTGGAAGGAGAAATGGCAGAACTTTCGTGGCAAGCATTTCTTTACTTATTCCCAGTTTGCTGTGAGTTAGAACCATTTTGTAAATTCCTATGATCGCCATCAAAATGGCAGGCTCACCAGAATGAGGGATTTCTTGGAGAAAAGGTAAGATCTGATCCAGGATGATCCATTTGTCCAAGTGCTCTAACATCTTTGCTAGACAGAGTAAACAATTGACTCTGACACTGAGACTCGAGTTACTTCCGGTTCCTTTGAGGCATATTTTTTTTATTCTCGGGATGATTACGTTTTTCATCGATGGACCTTCAATCAGAGTTGATATTGATGGTAATGCAGCTAGACAGAGCTCCTGGAGTTGTTCAGTCCGAGAGTCCAGGGCTCTTGTTAGCATTGGCACAATGTCTGTTTTTATGACTTCAGCAGAACAGAGTTTCAGGAGTAAATTTATCCTTTGCATTAGGACCAAACTTATCTGTGGTGGTTCTTCGAGAGCCAAAACTGGTTTCAAATTCGGTAAGATGTGTTCACTGAACTCCTCGGCAGAGCATTCCTCCAAAGTTTGTAAAATACTTGGTAGAACAAAAGGTATCATCGGTGCATTGACAAATTCTTTGTAAAGACAGGGTAAGACCCTGTGCAGTACAACTCTGTGTGGTAACTGCTTGAGAACTTGAGGGAGTCCTTTATAAAACTGCGACTTCTGGAGATTATCCCACTGGAATAATTTGTCTAGATAATTCAGGGTTTTCACACCGATGTCCATGAAGTACTCGATTCTGATGAACTGATGGGCATCGGGTCTGAGCTCTGGATTTCCACTCAGCATCAGCTTTACGGCATCCTTGAAGCCTTCAGGGAGAAATCCTAATTTAGAGGCACTCAGGGTCCCCTTGAAGTCAGCGAAGAATCTTCGACATTTTGAGGCATCTCCGTGATTTTCGTGCAGTGGTCGGTTACCAGGCGAATGTAGAACGTATGCTAGCATTCCCAGGGAGAATATATCGCTTGGTGGTCCACAGCTTCCTGCAACGATGCACTCAGGTGCCTGATAATCGAGATGTGGCTGGCCAACACTAGGAATACTTGGATCGTATTCAGTATAATTCCAGGATGGCTGTTTATCCTGCGGATTCTGATTCAGTGCGCAGGAGTCAAATCCAAAAATTTTCCAGGCCCCATGTTTATTGATGACAATAGAATCCGGACACAAATTTCTGTGGAGTAACTTGACATCGCTGTGCAGAAAAGCGAGACCTTCTCCGAGCTGCAGTAATCCATATCGAATCTCTACGTCCAGGAGTTTGTAATCCTTCAGGCTCTTGGGGATGGGTTGGGGGCAGTTCTCCAGAGATCCCAGAGCATTAGACAACGAAGCGAAGACTGGCTCTGCAGCAAAGGCAAGACTGTCACGTGATTCCTCCAGAGGATGCTGCACAGTCAGCACCTGAGGGTGTCGGAGCTTCGTCAATTGTGTGATTCCCCGTTTCAGGGCCTCCA